ACAGTAACAGTAACAGTAACAGTAACAGTGACCGTAACAGTAACAGTGACAGTGACAGTAACAGTAACAGTGACAGTGACAGTAACAGTGACAGTGACAGCAACAGTGACAGTAACAGTGACAGTGACAGTGAAAGTAATAGTAACAGTAACAGTAACAGTAACAGTGAAAGTAATAGTAACAGTAACAGTAACAGCGACAGTAACAGTGACAGTAACAGTAACAGTAACAGCGACAGTAACAGTAACAGTGACAGTAAACGTAACAGTGACAGTGACAGTGAAAGTAACAGTAAGAGTAACAGTGATAGTAACAGTGACAGTAACAGTAAGAATGACAGTAACAATAACAGTAACAGTAACAGTGACAGTAACAGTAAGAATGACAGTAACAGAAACAGTAACAGTGACAGTGAAAGTGACAGTAACAGTAACAGTAACAGTGACAGGAACAGAGACAGTGACATTGACAGTGACAGTGACAGTGACAGTGACAGTGACAGTGACAGTGACAGTGACAGTGACAGTGATAGTGATAGTGATAGTGATAGTGATAGTGATAGTGATAGTGATAGTGATAGTGATAGTGATAGTAATAGAAATAGTAATAATTGGTATGTTGGGTCACCGTGAAGTCTGCAAATGTTGATTATTTCAGGAGATCATGAGATTGCATCTGTCTGTGATCTTTTTAAAAGAACGCCTTCTGACAAAATGTTGGGTCTTGAAAGAAAGAGCTTCATTTAAAACAACACCACAAAACATGCAACAAAAACAGTATCTCTCTACTGCACCTTCATTAGTTGTTTCAATTATTTCCTGTACATTTTCTTGATATTCTCGTTTGTTCTGTGACTGTTTCGTTCTCTTCTGTTGATCCTTTCGCCAGTGTGCAAGATTAACGGCAATTATCCGTCCCATCGCATTGTCATAATCTATCGGTATGGATAATAAATGAACGATTATCTCGTCAATTTAACAACAGGTATTAGATTTAACACTGGGGGATTGTCGCCTAACTGTATTTAGCTATCTGTTGAAAGAAGTTTTTCTCAGGAGAAAGAGGGGGGAGGCGGCGGGTATACTACGTTCTACCACCAAAAGCTTAAAACAAATTTCGGGAGTCGAAGAGGCACTTCGAGCAAAGTTTAATACGGAATAGGAACTAAGAGAAGAAAATATCCAAGCACCAAAGACTGGCTAGTCAGGTTTATCGATTAAAGGACAAAGTTGAAAAAAAAAATTCTTGATTTCATCTAAGTGTCCGTGGGACCAAGTGGTCCACACCGCCGGAGGTTATCGCGGTTTCCGTAGCGGTAACGATTCGGAGTATCCCTGCTCCCCACAGAGTTTCCCCGCCCCTCCCCAAGCGTTAATTTGCCGTATCTATTTATACATCTGGGTGGGGAGGGGCGCTGTGAGAGTAAAGTGTCCATGTTGCTCGAGCTTTCATGTGAAACATAACTGATCGACCTTTCACTAAAAATGTGCGCGCATTAATTTGCACTGCTGTGGAATTTATTTTAAAATTAGGGATAAATTTGCCAGTCGCACTATGACGTTTGTAATCAGAAAGGTATAAAAAAATACTGAGAGATTGGGAGATTTCATTCAGAAAATATGTGCCAACATCACAATTAATATGACTGACAATTTAATTGAACTAACCTTTCTCAGCTATTTCTTTTATCTCAGGATCATTGACTAAATTTATGTCGGCTTGAGTCCGTCCTGCAATGAAGAAAACAACTATTGTAAATTGAAGCATGACATAACAAAGGGGTACGTCTTCCTTTTCGTCGCAGTCCATCATTGCCTTCGATAAACAAACGGTTAAGAGAACAAAATATTCCTAAATTAAGGTCCCGTCCACGCGTATCCGGATATTTTTGAAACCGCAACTTTTTCTTTCCGGATTCAAAAATTTCCCCGTCCACGCGTAGCGTATTCCAGTCGAATTCGCCTGTCCACACGCATCCGATGGTATCCGGATTCGCTCTAGAGAAACAAGGCCTACATGTTGTGCCGCCATATTGGTTTATTGTTCGGTAGGACACGATTTTTCTACGTCATCGGATTCAAAAATGTCTGGATTCACCAGTCATCGGATTTGGTGGGGATTTATTTTTTTCCACTTGGGAGAGCGGATTCAAAAATATCCGGATTCGCTGCCGAATTCGCCGGATGCGTGTGGACGGAGGCCGTATCCGGAAAGAAAAAGTTGCGAATTCAAAAATATCCGGATACCTGTGGACGGGACCTAAAGCTAGTATTTATTTGACCACTCATTCTTTTGATTACAGATTCTGGAGCCCGGCTCTTCCACAGAATAATAGGAGGCAAAGGAATAGAAAATGCATGTATATAATATTTGCAAAGCTGCTTCTTTGGATTCGATCTTTAATACTTCTTATAATATAAGTACATTTACTCGATATCCTCCTACATCGATCCTGCACCTAACAATAATCTAATCATTAACTTAAGCTGCATTATGTGAGCTTGTTTATTTGGGACCTGAACACAGAATGCCACAATTTAAGAAGATCGAGTGCAGCTAACTGGTTAGGGGCAAAAGCCCAAAGGTACTTGATGTTCAGTTGAAACATATTAATGAACTGATATTTATAAACAATCTTTTGGCCCAGCAAATGTGATCTGTTCGCCAATGAGAAAGTCATGATGTTCCAGCATTTTAAGAAACGTTTCGACCAATGGGAATGGCAAATTTGGAAAGCCGTTCACGCCAAAGTCCGCTGGGTCCGCAGAAACGGCGTATAACCAGCAAAACACAAATAAGAACAAACCGATAAGCCCTTATTTTATTATATTTATTTTATTTTATCTGAATTGTAAATTATGTATTGGTTCTTAGGCAATCTGTGTGCAAGAGTTCGGAGTTATATCTATGACCTACGCAAATTAACTCTCTTCAACTGAGAAACGTGTCAATATATATTGTTTTTGTTTCAATCGAAAAGGAAAGGGGGGAGTGGTAGGGATTTAGAAAAATTCAGAAACTGCCGAGCTATTTTCAACCTTACATGATGACACTTGTTCCGTGTAATAATAATGATAATAATAATAATAATAATAATAATAATAACAACAACAATAATGATGATGAAAATAATAAGAAGAAGATTATAAATGAGAATAATGATAACAATAACAACATGTTTAATAAGTCTACATGTAGATTGATAAACTTATTCACCGGGTCGGTCAGGGAATTAAACATTTTACTACTCCGTTATCTCTCAAGTATAGTTAAATTCTCATCTGATGACTTTTCATTTTTTATCGGTTTTTGACAAGAAGCAGGTGGGAAGAAAGTACAGACCACCTTCTTAAAGTTAAACTTCATCCTAGGTGCTTACTTGTGAGTAAACGTTTATTTAACGTATCGTAAGACGAAAAAAAGCCGTGAACGACTTTAAATCAAGTTAATACAAGGTGCTCAAAGAAACAATGACGCTTCTTCTTTGTTCATCTTACCCTAACCCGCTGTGTTAGATACCTGTGCTTTAACTTTACGATCCCTGTAATGTCAGGTATAGGATATTAAAACACCTTTTAGGGAAACCAGACCACAAATAAATAATATATACCACAAACCTATTTTCCTCTTGAAAGAGTGAGAAGATGCTATTTACATTTACGATCACTTGCAAGCCACAAATTTCACAATGTTGAATTTCACGTGAAACATATTTGTTTTTAAGCATGTTGTGGCTACAATATTTACATGTTTTGATTATTATGACTTGCGGGTGCCGCACCGTGACGGGCACTGGATTAAGAATCACATCGAAAAACACCAAAGTGCCAAAGAATCATCAATTGCTTAAACTGAACAACTCCGCACCTTGGATACATAAAAACAGCGTTATAAGTTTAAAAGATATTCCGACAAAGCGACAGACACAATCACACAATGTGGATGATAGCGATGATTCAAACTTAGAGACCTACGACAATCAAGCCACAGATGAATTTGATGAAAAGGACACGGAAGAGGCACCATCCTACAGACAAGTCATTTTAGATCCAAATGCTGGTAACGCGTTGAGATTTCCTCGTCCGTATCCTTTTCATCCGTTACACCATGTCCCTTGGAACCCTTACATGGGACCCGTGGAGATTATTCCAAATCCGATTCAAGTGCATCATTATAGAAAAGTACCAGTAGCCATTCGTGTGCGAAAATACGAAAACGTTCCTGAAGCGTATTACGTAGCTTATAAACCTACACGTGATTACACGGTGACTCATGTGGATGTCTTCAACCCAGGTTCGTATAACTTTTTATCAATACATCTTTTAGAAGTATCCTATAATAGCCGGGGCCGGTTATGTTTAGCACTTGCCATGATGAGTATTCGAACGAGTTAATTTATTCAGCTTCTTTCTCAGAGCCTTTCCACTTAATGCTTTGAATCTAAAGCGTAAACGGTAAGAGGAATATTGTGACAGGATAAAATGGAAAATGATCCGAACCAATAGTAACAATCCTAAGAAATATGTTTAGTCTCAAAAAGGAAGAGTACGAGACAAAATAATCTTTATTTTTCTCAATTTAAAGCTTTCAAAACATGGGCATTGTATAAGACGTGTCCGCGTTTACTCAAGAAATGGTTATCATTCCAAATACCATTACACATGTATTAGCTTCAACAGTTGCCAAGGTGACTATGATGTTTGCAGTGAGAACTTTTTGTTGGTTTCAGGTAATCCATGCAGAAATGGCGGCATCGTAGTATCCAGTCAATTTGGGTATCATTGCCTGTGTTCAAGAGACTACCATGGAAGGTTTTGTGATGGTATGGAACGTGCAATGTATTTCCTCTCTGAAAACATTTAGCAAAAAACTAGAAAATTAAATTGCAACCCTGGGAGTTTCCACAGTACACGAGTACATTAGATTACATGACATGACATGACGTGACATTGCATTGTTGCATGATTAGCATGTTTTGAAATCGCATAACACGACATCAGTTACATTAGCTTGCATTGCACTTAATTATTGTTACGTTGCTTTGGATCATCTTTTAGCGTCTAAGCGATAATGAAGCAGGAGAAAAAAGTGTTGATTCCAAAACTTTCACGACAAGGTATACGTAAAATTATTCTTCTGCAGCATTAGGCTGGCTAGCATGAAAGGTCAGTGTTAAGAACCAGGAAGGTGACTGCCATTTTAGATTATTGCTGTCATGCAATAATTGCTTAATTACCTTATTACATGAAATTTTCGCGACACGTTAATTTCGCGAATTTCGCGATTTAAAAAAAATCGCGAAATTTAAGTGACGCGAAATT